CCCCGCGCCCTTCCCCCCCCCCCCCCCCCCGAGATCTTCATCTTCACTACGGCCAAGCTGGACTACACGGAGCGCATCCTGGAGGTCCTGGACCCTCAGAAGAAGCTGATCAGGTGCCGCCCTGGGCAGGGCAGGGCAGGGCAGGTGGGAGCCCCCACCCAACCCCTCTGCCACATCTGGCGGGTCCTGGGTCCTCTCCCTTGCAGACACCGGCTGTACCAGGATGACTGCCTCTGCGTGCGGGGCCACTACCTCAAAGATCTTGCTGTGCTGGGGAGGGACCTGGCTAAGACCGTGGCTCTGGACCACTCCCTGCAGGCCTACCCCTACCAGGTAACTGGTGTTGCTGGGTCGGGGGGTAGGGGATGCTGGGCTCGGAGAGGGGGCGAGGGTCCTGCTGCGCCAGGCACCGGAGATGGTAGGTGGCCTAGTCCATCCCACTCCCCTGCAATGTGCCCACTTCTGGGGTGCAACCTGGCTGCAAAGCTGTGCCCTGCAGGCCTGCGCTAGGGTGGGAGGGCACCAAGCCAGGCTCTCGGGGACAGTTTTTTGGGGTGGCGGGATGTTGACCCCACCTGGGACCTGGGTCAAGTTTCCCAGGGACTGAGGGGAGCTCCCCAGGGTCACTCATGCTTCCGGCAAAGCTGAGCCCCTGGTCCTCAGGCCTGGGATCCTGAGATCAACCTTCTCCAGCTGGGGCCCCCGAGGGGCAGTGACCCAGCGCCACATCCGTTGTGCCTGGCTTCTGTGCTGGGAAGGTCAGATCGGGCTGGGGATGAGGGGCCCTGCCAGGCCCCACCGCCTGCCCTGCCCTGCCCTGCCCAGCCCAGTAAAGCAGGTGCATTTCCCCGCCCCGGGTGCTCCCTTCACCAGTGCTCTGCCCCCTCCGCTCTGGGCAGCAGCTGGTTCTCATGTGGGGGATTTGCTTTCTCCCTCTCCCCAGGTCTCCAACAGGGTCCCGATCCCCAGCTGGCACGGGGACCCCCAGGACCAGGAGCTGCTGCGGCTCATCCCCGTGCTGGAGAAGCTGAGCCAGGCCGTAAGGATGGGGGCAGCCCCTGTGCTGGGTGGGGAGGCTGCCCCTTCTTGTGCCCCTTCCTGCCTCTGCGCTTTGGAGCATCACTGATCTGTGTGCCCCCTTCTCCCCTGGCACGGACACTATTGCCCCTCCACTCCCCTTCTCCCAAGGAAAACGTGCCTAAGTTGGGTGCCTGCAGCGTGCACCAACCCCTCTGGTGTCCCTCCTGCCTGGCCCATGCCTGGCTGGGCCACAGAAGGATAACAGCCTGCTGCTGCTGCTGAGTTGAGCTCCTCCATGGGAGCTGTGGCTACCATGGAGGTGGGTGCTTGCCCCCGGGAGCGAGGGGCTTGATTTACAACTGTCGGCCTCTCCTCCATAGAGCGACGTCCGTCCCGAGATCAGGAGGAGGTACCGGCTCTGCAGGCTGCTGGCTGAGGACTGAGGCCGACCCCGGGGGCCCCACGGGAGGTGCATTGGCCAAAGCCTTGCCCTAAACCCTATGAGCTGCTGCTGGGCAGGCACTGGCACTGCCCTTCCTCCAGAGGACCCAGGGGCCTGCAGTCCTACAGCCTCTTCTCCTTTCGGCTTTGCAAGCCAGGGATCTCTGAAGCAGCCTAGTCATGGGATACCCTGCTCTGGGAGACAACACCAAGCTCCTGCCCTCTGCCTCGTCTGTCGTCTCTGGTGCTGGGACCAGCCCCTGCCTTCAGGGCCCTTGGTCCCGGTCCTGGCAGTGGCTGGGGGCTGCTGGTCGAGTTTAGTGTGGTAGCCAAGACTTGCTCTTTCCCTTAGCAGTGCCATTCCCCTGCCCCCTGCTGCTGCGGGGAGACCTAGACCCAACCTGATGCCAGCAGCTAGCAAAGCAGCCCAGCATCGAGGTGCCCTACACCTCCCTGCTGGGCCTGGTGCTCCGAGACCTACCCCTTTCTTGATCTAGACCTTGACTTTGTTAAGCCTCTTGCTGCAGCTGGGGCAGCCGGCCTGGGCTGGAGCCCCTATTTCCCAGCCCCATGTCTCTGTGCCAGAGGAGCAGGGGCTGGAGGGAGGCATCTCCCCTGCAGCCCTGCTGTACCATCTCCCAGTGCCCAAGTCCCTGGGCATGTCCACTTCCCCACTCCCAGATCCCTTGAGAGCAGGCTTGGCTTGCTCATGGGGTGGGTTGGCTGGTGGCATTCCCTGTCGCCATGCCCAGAGCGGGGCTGGGCTGGGGTGAGGCCTGGCAGGAGATGAGGGGTTGTGAAGAAATCCTGAGCTGAGAGTCAAGGGGCTGCTGGGAGCCCAGGCACGTGTGGGGCCTTCAAGCTGCCTCTGTGCCAGGACCCTGCCAGCCTCTGCACCGTGGGCCTGGAGCAGGTGGGCAGCGGTCAGTCTGACTCTGCCGACACTGTCCAAACCCTGCATCGGGCCGGGGCCTGAACCTCGACGTGCCCGGTGCTGCAGTAACTGGATCGGGGCTGGGGCCGAGCTGGGGGCGGTGACCTTTCCCTGCAGCCTACGCCCTTGGGGTCGGAGGCAGCTGGCTTGGGCTGGGCAGGGATTCCTCCCAGCTGCCTGGGGGTCCCCGCTGGGCTTTAGGGCTTATCTGCTTCAACTGTTCCTTTTAACTTTTTTTTATATTTCAAAGAATAAACCGTTGTCTCAGCATTGCCATAACCCTGCCCCCGCGCCCTCCCTCTGTGCCTGTGGTCCGATGCACTTGCCCGCCTGCCTGCTGCCCAGCAGTGGGGTGGTCGCTGTGGCCGGGGCCCGGAGGGAGCTGGGACAAAACCGGTCCCTACTGGGGCACGGCTGGTGGGCGTTTGAGCCGGGGGCCACGTGGGAGCCTGGCTACCATGCGGGGCTGGGGGCTGCTGCACCCTCGCCCTTGTGGGGCTGGCGCCTGCTCTGGACAAGGTGCCTGGGCTGCGGGGCATGGAGTCGGCTTCTGCCCCAGGCTGATGGGCCTGAGGGGAGGGGCTTGACCCTCTGTCTGTGCAGTGAGGGAGGGGCTGGGGGGTGGCAGAGATGGGGGGGCTGGGGCGACCCTAGCAGGTGAAATGTTCCCCGGCCTGGACACAGCACTTAGGGGGAGACCCAGGCCCCTGCGCCCCTTGCAGAGCTCCCTAAGGCTGTCCCCCATCCCAGCCCTCTCTGCCCACCCGGGGGCCGGGAACAAAGTGGGTCCTTGGCAAGGAGCCTGGGCCCCCCAGGGGAGCTTCCTGCCCCACTCCCAGAGCCGCAGCAGGCGGGTAGCCCGGGCCCAGGCTGGGCTTCCTGCCGCACCACGCTGGCCACGATCCGGACCCTGGGCTCCTCACTCGCAGTGCAGCCCCTTGCCTCTGCCCTGCCTGTTTCCCCCTTTCTGGGCACTGGGGCAGGGCAAAGCGCCTGGCGCCGCACACAGGGCAGTGGGTGAGCCTGGGCCAGGGCTGGGGGGGACTCAACCCGCCCACTCTGCGGTCTCACCTCCCAGCGTGGTGCCTACCCCGGGCACCCCCACCCCCGGCGGTACCAGGCAGAGCCTCGTGAGCAGAGCAGCCTCTGACTCGAGACCTCGAGGGCCCCACGGTCATGCCCAGCCCGCAACTACCTGCACAGACCAGCTGCTTCGTGCCAGGGGCCGTGCCCGACAGACACGCTCGGAAGGGACGTTCCTCTTTCCGTTCCTGCATCCCAGCCCCCCCCCCCCCCCCCCCCCCCCCC